TCTTATGATTTGATTTTGGAGTTTGGACTTTAGATCGGATTTTGTCTGGGGAATAGATCGCCGATTATTCATACAAGTTCTGAGAAAAATAAATTAGCTGCGACAAAACAAAACAGAAGATTCGAGTCAGTTCATTAACTTTTTCAATCTAATTTTAATAGAAGCATGTTAAAAATATGTTTTTAATTTAATTTAAAAGCACCTTAATAAGTAATTTACACTAGAAACAATTAACTTTTTTCGAAATTTTTTTTTAAATTTGACTATTTTTTCCCATTATTATATGTACACTTAATCTTAAAAGAGATAATATTTGATTGAGAGATAATATTTGATTTTGATGATTTTCCCCCCTAAAATATGCAGCAATAAAGCACAAATAAAATAATATGTGTCTCTTATTTTCGTCATATCAGTTTCATCAAACTCAGAGTGGGACATTTGGTTTCTTTCTCTTGTCGATAAAACTAAATTAGTTTCAACGAATATTATCTTCAAATTTGATGTACATTGCAGCGTATCTTTATTTTTTGCGTAGGATCTAAAAAAGTTAAGTAATAAAATCAGAAAGATATATCTAATCAGATTCTATGATTGATTCAAATCTATTGAGATTTTTGTTGAATTTGCAAATCTAATGTATTGTGTTTATGGGAAATATTTAATGAAATTCTTGGAAGATGCAACAAAATCAAACTTTTAATCAGAATATCAAGCAAATTAATAAAAAAGACATATTCGAAATAATAAAATTATTATTTTACCATTTTATGCTTACCATTTTCATTCTACTGGAGATTGACCACTTTGCAATCAAAAATTCAAACTATCCTGCCGAAAATCGATAAAAACTGAAATCTTCTCATAATGCTCTCTCTAAAAAAAGAAAAAAATTATCAGATTTGACCTTTCTGTCAAAAACATTTTTCTAAAAACTGGAAGAAAATTGATGTGCGCATTTAAAAAAAGATCATCAAAAACGTTTTTGTGAGCGTTTTCCGCGTGCCCGATAGCTATAGTCAAAAGCCAAAGTCTCTATGAAAACATTGTAAATACTGGAGAAATAACAACCGTAATCATGCACATCATACACACAAAAGATATTATGCGCTTCAGATTTAGCAAATTATCTTCTTTCAATTTATATATATATTTTGTTTTTAGATTTTGATATTTTCTACGATTAATATGTGTTAATTATAAGCTCAAGTTATCATAGATATTTTTATCAAACTGGCTAAAGCAAAAATCATGAAAAATCATAAGACAATACGTAAGCAACAAAAAACTAAATTTATGTTTATGTTTTATTCACAATGCTGCAGTGGTTATGTCAACTTAATAGACATGCATATTAGATATAAAACAGACTACGATTGAAGTTCACGAGTTTTACATATATTCTTGATTTTAAAAAAATTAGAAATCTTGTTAACACGATTTGAAAAATCTTGAGATTAATTAGATACGAATAGAAAACTAGTTTATCAAAAATCTGAAACATTATATAACATACATATACTTTGCAAACAGAAATAATCGCGCTACACGTTGAAATATCGTCATATATTAATACAAGATTAATTATTTATTAATATGTAATATTGTTTAATATAGGTCATTTAATTGTCGCCAATCAATTTAATATTTTACTCGGTGTATGCGAAGTGCAATTATACACGTGCGATATATAATTAACGCTTCGACGATACAAATCTATCGTCACTCTATCAGCGATTGAGCAATGAAAACATTTCGAGATACATAATTATGTCAAACATCGCTTTGTTGATGAATTTTTTGTGAAACTATTTAATTTTCTTCTAATATATGTCAATACATATTTTACGACAAAATGAGTTTTCCAATTGAGCGATATTTTATATAAAGATTTCATAAATAAGATCTCATCCCGGGAAAAAATATTTTATATATAATTATATAAAATTATATATAATTATTATAATATTTTTTTCTGGGATAAATAAAGACATAATAAGATGATACGCAACATAATATTGTGATCAAGAAATGAATAAATTTTAATAATTTTTTGAACGTAATGATGACTTATCGACAGGAATCTCAAATCGTTAATGAACGGTTATGTCTGTGAATGCACTTGCAGCATCTTAAGAATATCTCGAGGAGATATATATTTCGTGTACTTTATTCAGCACTTGACGCAGATAATTTTCTTGGAACGAGAATAAAGATTACACAGAAATCTATAATTTTACTGAAATATTTATAAATTTAGCTAGAGATCTGAAAAAATAGTTATGTTGGACTATTAAAATAATTATGTAGAATGTTCAAACTAATTGTTTGAATATTTTTATATTGTCATTCTTCTGTAGTTTCCTACATAATTATTTTGATCATTCAGCAAAATTATTTCAAGACCGACACAACAGATGTGTCCAAAATACATTATGGAGATATCTTAAAGATATATTTATCTTTAAAGAAATATATGTAATAGCTTTAAGATATTTCTCTGATTTCGGACATTTCTGCTGTATGTCTAATTAAATTTTTTAATACTTTGCCAAAATCGTTCCAGAAGGAATGTACAAATAATCGCAAGAATATAAAATTGATAAGTATATCCAACAATTGCTTTTAAAATGATTCCCTACGAAACGATTGAATTATATATATTATTTATTGTTCGAATTAGAAAACTGCTCCTTTTTACACTCATTTTATTAATTTTTACTGAATCATAATAATCATAATAAAAAAAGTTGAAAGTAAAATGTGAAATGGCTGAAAGAGAAATGGCTAAATGCCAATTGGCTCGCATTGCCTATAAAATCATGGCTTTTTCATATATCTATCATTTTTAAATTACATCCATTTTTTTACATAAAATTCAAAATAAATTCGACTAATCGTTAATCATTGTATCGTTAATCATTGTATTTTATTATATCCATCAATAATTACAAATTATATACACATAATTATATACACGGAATGAAAGATTTTGTTAAAGTATTTAAAAATTTAGATACAGATCTGAAAATTATTCTATTAGGCTCAAAGTAATTATGTAGAATGCTCAAGTTGCTTGCTATAGCATAACTTTTTATAGCATTGCTTATCATACTTTTCTATATAATTATTTTGATGGTTCAATAAAATTATTTTCAGATCTATCAAAATTTATAGATCCTTTAGCAAAATTTTTCTTTCCATATATGACGTCAATTTCAAACTTTCGCTTATGTTATTATTTCTTAATATCGGCGTTGTTTAAATTAAAGCAACCGCGTAGTACATAATCATTAACAATATGCCGAAATGTGATAAACAAATTAATTTCGCGAATAATCCAACATCATAATTAAAGAAATTCACTTTATACGTATCTGTAATTATTGCCCGACATTCTCAAATGCGACAGTCTAGCATTGGCACGAAGCTGCGAATTATCGAACGTTAAACGTATGTTATAATTTATCGTTGTCGAGAATATGTAAAAAGCATTATTATTGTTACAAGCAATAAACTATAAGAACAACGTGACTGCATTAATAGATAGATAATTTATTCTTGATATATCTTTATCTTTTTATTATATTACTAAAGAAAAAGTATAAAATCTTCATTTTCCTCCTTCATAAAAATGAGAAAAGGTATATAAATCTGCATGTTCATTTAAAAAGTATATGCAATTCCAATCGCGTATTATTTCCTTTTGAAGCTTGCTCATTAATTTCTTTGCAGTATCTCATAAATCTCATTTATTCTTGTAAACTTGGCTGCTTTACAGAGAAGGCGCGTCGAATTTTTTCTTTGTCATTTCAGTGGAATTTTCACAAAGGCTGTATATACACATATTCCAGGGAATCACTCTCTGTCGAGTTATATGCTTCATTTGCAAGTTGCCTTTTTTTTTCATTTTTCGACATTTTTTAATATTCATATGTGTAAATTTTCTCGCCTCGACTGCTACCTATGGGGCTTGATTATACGCCTGTGAATACTTTTCGATCGACCAACGGTAAAATCGTAATAATGGGCATACATCAACTCAAATTTAATCGTACGATATATGAATTGAATGCACATATTGTACGTTATACATAATATACATCATGCATTATACAAATTTAGTGCGCATATGATACACTATACTAATAACTACAAGAATCGTAAAATAATTACTTAATAGACGCATTGTAAAAAATGTTGCGAAAGATATAAGATATGGCTACATGTTTCAAATTTGAATTAAAGATAATTATAGCTTAACAAAAGATATAATGATTTGTTTTTTAACATATTATTAAGCAAATAAATTATATAATATATAAACTGCCTAATAAAGAAAATAAATTATAAACTGCGATTCAAAAATATTTATTTTTAATGAGATCGTAAAAAAAAAAACCATTGCAGTTTAATGTAGAACGATAGTAAATAGAATAGATTTGGAAGAAGACATGAAATACGTATACAAAAAACTTCGAACGATTACAAGCATATAAAAGTGAATTGTCAAAATCAAATAACTGTAATACTCGTGCTTATGTGAAGCATGCTCGTTATTGCGATATTATCGATGATCGGCCAAATCAAAGTTCTTTAATTATTCTTAATTAAAATATCCATTATTTGTATATTGGTCATTTATCATAAAAGTACAATATTTACAATATTATAATATTTATAATTATAATACTTATTATTATTTAATTATTAGTGAAAATTACTCATTACTTGTATAGTCTACATGATCAGTCGCTCGTTCATAAAAGACTTTGAATATTTAACAATTGTCAATTATAAAGGTATTTAAAAATTTAATGCTAAAAATTAGTTTAATAAATTTTCTCATTGATAATTTGTCTATAAAAGTGCGTCAATTTAGGCAATTTTTTCTCTAGTAATTTTATCTCTAACAAAAATATTATTAAAATTTAATATGAGAAAATAGATAAAATAAGTGAATATATATTTTGATTAAAAATAAATAAAATTCTATTTAATAAAATAGAAAATTATTTTATTAAAAAAATGTATTTATACATTACACAATATTCTGTATCGAAAGGATTATTTGCATACAATGCTACATAATATCAGCCAATTAAATTACATAAGCTCAGAGTTACATTGACTATGCGTATTTTTAATTGTAATATGTCGAAATCAACAAAATGAAGTATTTTATTTCGTAATTTTCGCTGGTACTTCGAAGCACATAATTCTGTCATTTCCTTCTTTCAATGCATAATGTACGGTTACTGAAATCTGTAAACAAAGTTATAACAAACATTTATGGCAACAGGTTGAAATCAAGTTACGAAAGAAACAAATTGCGCATAATTAAAAGAGAAAAATGTATTATCATTGTTAAATTATTCTTAAACCAATATCAGATTAGAGATTGAGATTGGATTGGAATTTGACCAATTGTAATAAAATTACTTAACTCAATGTTGGTTTTTTTTCTAATTGATTAAATTCCAATTTAATCTCAAATTAACGTTATATTATATATGTTTATTATACATATATATTTAATTATTAATAAATATGAGTCGCAATTATGAGTCTTTTTTAAATTTTAAAATTTGCAAACTTACCCTGGGATATATTGATAAAATAGGGAAACTGTTTTTGTATATATATTGTTCGCCTTTCTTTAAGGGACAACCGATTTTGTTACCATCAGTGTTGTAAATATTATCACAGGCATTTGTTCCATCAACTCCTATGAACGGTATGGGTAAGATGTTAATAATTCCCTGCACGTTATTAGTTAAACTTTGAATATCTCTATTAGGCACGAGTTTCATTTCTATATTGACAGTTGATCCCTGTTTTAATAGACATTCAGGTTTGTCACAGTTGGATATTTTGATTTGTTCGGTATCTTCGAATTGGAGATCTAAAATCATAAATTGTAAATCATAATTTGAATAGTGTGGGTATAATTTGTGTCTGTTGTGTCTTCACACAGCTCGATTAATTTGATTACGTAAATCATAAACACATTAATCAAATCACGATTATTTTATTTATAAAAAGCAATTTAATTTGACATTAAAATAATATTTTGCATGTTCGAAAAAT